TTGTGCATCGTCTTTCCACCAAATAACAGAAAAGTATCGATAGTGGTATCGATAAAGACTCGGATCGATAAGGAGTATCGATAAAGGTATCGATATCAATAAATATTAACGATCCCCATCCCTAATGTTGACATCATTTTTTTCTCAGAATTATGTGCTATATTATTAGCTTGAGAATGGGTAGAAGATACTAATATAAATAAAATATTTTGTAGTGATTATCTGCATTGAGTATTCAAAAGGGATGTACAAATAATCATCAAAATATATGAAGTTATGGCTGTTCATCATAGAATATGTGAACAAAAATAAAAACAACAACTTCAAACTTTTAATTTTGTAATGGTATTCATAAAAGCACTTTTGTTTGTAGAGGGTTAATCCTTTCTTTAATCACTAATCAATGTCAGAAATCAGGGTAAATATACCTGATATATTTTATTTAGAGGAAAATTTTTGTTTATCTCATTTCTATTTATGTTCAAATGATTTAATTGAACTGGAACAGAAAATTTAATTTTATGTTTATCAATTACTTTTTTATGTAGTCCTTGGTTGAAGAATTTCTTAAATTTATTATTTTTTATTGTTATTTGGTAATTTCTGAAATTGATTTATTTAATATTTGTTTAATGTGTGTTAAATTTGTTAATTGTCTGAAATAAATTCATTCAATGATTCAATCCAGTTTTTTAGCTATACTTTACCTAAGTGTCCTTACAGATGGTTGAAAGTGTTTTTGCACAGTCCTAACTTTGAGTGTGTAATAAATTATTTAAAATAATAAAAAAGAAAAGGTACTTAAACCTATTCTGGTATTTGTCTATGCATCACTCCATGCTAAGTTACAGTTTTTTCTGAATGCTTAAACACAACCTTGATTCTTATAGCACAATTTCTAGAACTATTAATACTTATAGCAAATCCACTCACTGAGTTCACAAAACTAAAAGAACAAACACTGCTTTGCACTCAATTTGCAATTATGTAACACACACTTTGCACAACTGTAGGCACAATTCACAGCACAGGGGAGGGGGGGGCGCAAAACTCAATCTCGTCTAGGGCAACCAAAGGGCTAGAACCGGCCCTGTGCCCACCCCTGATTTAGAGCAATGAGGCTATTTGATAGGAACCATTTTAAAAGTCTCCTATAACACTTTCTTTACAGGGACACTGCAGCCAATCAGAATCAAGTATTCACCCAGAAAATAACATAAATTGCTATTTACCAATCAGCTTTGACTCTAAAAATATGTAATTCTTCAACAAACACCCATATTAGTGCTGGTCTAAGCATGCTTTGTCTGTTGGCTACACCAGATTCAGTCAGCTAAAGGAGGAAACAACTTCTTCCTGCAAACAGCCAGACGAAAGCAGTAGCAATTCCTCAGCCGCTCAGTCAGTCTTGATGAGACAGCAGGTTGTCTAATTGACTGACTTGATTGGTCTCGTATGTGTCTGCTCACCCACTCAGTCACATTTATTTTTTCCAGGTGATGCAGCAGAGAAGCGATAAGCGGATCACTCAGGCTCTTAAACACAAATGACAAAAAAAGGGGATAAATGTTGACAATCTAAGACTGGGATATAGGGTAAAGATAACTGAAGAGACGTGCAATAGATAAAATGCAGTATGCTCTAGCCAGTAGAAAAAAATAGGGAAGAAACAAGGAAATTGGAGGGAAAGGAACATTTGTAAATAAAAGGAAATAAAAGAAATGAAGATGGACAGGAGAAGATGTCACTCAGCCTTTTATAAGGGCATGCTTCTGGCTGTGGGGGCTTGTGTTTGATGACTGACAGCTTATAAAATGTATCTGGCAACACACTCGAATGTCCAACATTTCCTCCTGCCCTCGCTCTCCTTTTTTTTTTCTTAGATAATCTTTTTTTGCTGTGTTTTTTTTTTTTTTTGTTACCAAAGCATTCTACAGATCTCCCCCCTCACTCTCTTCTGGCTCTTTAGTCATGTCATTTATCTTCTGATCATATCACCTCCTACGTTCAAATCAAAATCCACTGCTCTCTCCTCGGTCTGCCAATTATTTTCATTGCCAAGTCTCCATGATGTTATTTGATGAGTCAAATCTTGTCAAAAAAGCATCATTAAGATTGCAGAGATATTTAATCTTTTGCAAAAAAAAAAAAAAAAAAAGCAGCGGAAAAAACAGCAGTAGATAATAGTTGTTCACATCTTTGATAAACGTATGGACAGATCTACACCAGCGATTGAGGTGTCCTAAACACCTGTCACTATGTTGTCTATAGTAGACATTGGCAGTATTTGGAGATAATTAGTGTTTACATTATACTCAAATGGACAAGAAAGGAAATTAAGGCTGCCGTTTCCTATGTTGGGATATCTTATCATGTGTTTTATATGGGACTATATGTGCAAACTTTATCAAGCAAGCCCATTTTATATATGCCACTCATGTTAGAATGAATTTCATATCAATTTCCATTGTAAGTACCTTCTGACATTATTTCTCTTTAAATGTTTTTTCACTTATGGGGCGACAGTGGCGTCAGATGTAGGGGTTTACCCTGAAATCAAAGGGTTGACGGTTGAAGCCCCAGCTCTGGCTTTCAGTGTTGTGTCCTTGGACAAGACACTACACCTGCATCGCCTACTGATGGTGGTCAGAAGGCCTTGGTGGTGCCAGTGTACGGCAGCCTGGCCTCTGTCTGGCAGCTGTGGCTAAAATGTAGTTTGCAACCATCAGTGTGTGCATGAATGGGTGAATGACTGAATGACTTGAAAAAGCACTATATAAGGACAGGCAATTTACTGTGATGGACTGGAAACCAGTCCAGGGTGTACCCTGCCTTTTGCCCATAGACAGCTGGAGATAGGTACCAGCTCCCTTTGCAACCCCAGAAGGGATGAAGCGTGGAAAATGGATGGAAATGTGGCTTAAATGTTAATAATTTCTACAAAGAATGCATGCTGATGTGATTAAATCTTAATCAGTGCAAACAAAGCATTTGCATAAGTGTACCAAGACAACAACTCATTGCGTCAATTTCTGCATACCAATTATTTCCATTTCAAAGCTTTTGCATCTCTGAGTTGGCACTTTTACATCTCACATTTACCTATCCTGTTCGATTCTTAACAAATAAACTATTTCACAAATGTTTTTGGTGATAAATATAGATAATTTGTATAGTGTTTTAGTTTCTTTTTTTGGTTTCTGTGGCTATATACGACAGTCGATTAGAAAGTCATAATAAATATACATATTGGTAGATCCTTAATTTCCTTGAAGGCTATTAAGCCAAAGTTTGAATATAGTTTTCCTACAAGTTATTTTAGAGTAACATCTAATATAAGCAAGATAAAGCCTGTGTTACAGATGATGAAATTATGAAATGTAATTGCTTTAGACAATCTGAACAGAGAACTAAATAATTTAGGTTGGTTTCACATTCAAAGGTTGTATTTATCCTTCAGTCATGATCAAAGGCCTCAGAAACATCCAGTGCATAAGTTTTGGTGGTTGCTGGGTTGTTCTTGAACACCAATCACCTTTCATCTGTAAGGTGACAGTTTGGGCCAGGCGGTTGAAACTTGCCCTCATTAAGGCATGATAAGGATCTTTATCATATATTAAGTGTCTGTATTTACTGTAGTTTTAATTTTTTTGCACAAAGCATGCAAGCATTAATCTTATTAAGAATTTTAAAACCACTCGGGGGGCCAGGGAGTCAACCCTGTGAAGTCTAGCAAGAAGAAAAGGTAATCAAATATTGAGACAGATCTGGCAACAAAAAGAATGTGAAGCACATCCAACCACCTAAAGGACATTTATCCAAATACTAGCTGGGTTAAACAAAGATCTTTGAGCTTTTGTGTATAGTTTTTAAGGAAGCACCAAATTCCTAATGCTTTATTAAGGTTATTTGTTGTACTATGCTTCCAACCTAGAAAATAAATTACATTGAATGACATTCATGCTCATACGTAAGTGCACCTACCTCTGTAGATTCTACATGCATCTTTGCTCCAATACAGCTGATTAATGCTGAGTAACGAGCCATTCATTTGTATCAGCTGTGTTGCAGCAGGGATGCATGCGTTCTATGCACCTGGCCTGCTGCACAGGGGTTGCTACAATAATAAAGGCAGAATTAAGTTAGTGTATTCTTTTTAAGCAATCTAAGCATCTCTGAAAAGCTAGACAGCATCATATCATCGCCCTCTCCATCACCAATAAAACTGGAGAACCCTTGCCCCCTTGATGGGAACACTTAAAGGTGTGTATAGCACCGGAAATTGGATTTACAATGAATGGGAAAATTTAAGCAGAGTCTAACTTGCACCAAAATTAGAGCTCAGCAGAAGTAAAAATTTAATGTGCTTTGATAATTCATGACTTTTCTAATTCATTGCCGCTCATATAAAAAGCTCCCTCACCACCATTCAACAATCTGTCTTCAAATGACCTCAAGTAGGTTTTTCTCCGCCCTGCTTCTTTTTCCTTTTCATTGCTAAAGGAGGAAAAGTCAAACTGTCACACTTTAAATCTGTGTCAGAGGGGGGAACCCTGGCATCAGTTCTTCATTTGCCACTCTCAGGAACTGCTGCAGTATATCACACAAAACACACACGCGCAGTAAAACACACACATCTGCCTTGTGTTGAGTGCACGACAGACACAGAAGGAGGGATAACCATCAGATGTGAAAGCAGATGTTGGTGACATCATTTGACTCCTGCACATGCTGTTTCAGCATGCTTACATCCACATTTCTCATTCTTAAATCCTTTTAAATAAAATCATATATTTAAAAATTAGACAGATTCTTGTAAATAAAACAAAAAGAAGCAGGAGGGTTTGGGCTGATGGCTTTTGATCTCCTTAGGTTATTCTGGCAAACCTAAAAATGCCCACACCCTTTCAAAGCAATCCAAATAAGAATAAGATTATATTATGCAAGTGAAATAAGTAAATGGCTAGAATTAGAGTAACTTGTGGCTTCCATCACCTCACCGTTATAGCACATGGTCAGCCACAGCAGCTCCAGCACCTGACCCCCGAACTCGCACACGTCCAAACCCAGCATGGTTCCTTTCTGCGCTGTAGAACCGGAGAACCGAGGGACCTCCACAGGTAGCAGCAAAGTAGGAGAGAAAGGATGGAGAAATGAAGAGTGTCCAAAAAAGTCTAAACAACAGGGTCAGGTGAGCATATATTCCCCAGAGAGCTTTAATAATTTTTTTCTCTAAAGGCAGAAAGTGAAAAGGAAAGAAGCAAGGCAGTGTGTGGGAAACAGCAGCAGTGAAGCAGTGAGGGTATCCTTGGGTGTGGGTGTGGATGTGTGAGTTAGAGAGAGTGAAGAGGAAGAGAGGAAGGGAGGGAGGGGGAGGCAGCAGACATAAGAATCAGCTGCTTCTCTCTGCTCCTCTATCAGTTTGTAGTTCAATGTGGGGAAAACTGAGTGATCTAAAGCCTTCAAAACCATCAGCTGATATTTAATTTTTTTTTTTATATATTTTTTTTTCTCCCAGTAGGGATGGTTGGGACCTCTAAGAGGAGGGCAGATGCTGGTTTTGCCGGCAGAGCTGTCTGCAGCTGTGTGCGTGTGCTGCACTCAGACGCTGGCCATCGATTTGCAGACAAGCAGCGAACCCCTCCCCTCCTGCATCCCTCGCCTCCGCTCCTCGTGTCATCATCCCAGCGACTGCAATGAGCTCATCCTTTACCCCCCCTCCCTCCACTCCCTAGTTCACTCCACGCATTGCTTCCTTTCTTTCTCCGTACCCCACCTCTTTCTAACTCTAACTCAGGCCTTTATGCATATCTCCACTGGCTTACACCTCTGCTGCTGCTCATCTGCTGTCCGCTCTCTCTTTACATCCATCACCATGTCATGCCCCCTATCTCTGCATTTCTATCTAACATTTTCCCCCTTCCAGCTCCTTCCTCTCCTCTATCGCCCTCTGTCTTCACTGACCACACCCTGACAACATCTACCATTGATTTGTTTCCATTTTTTTATGTCAAATTGCTTTCTTCTCCTTCTCTTAAGACACCCCTGGACCAAAGAAGAGGCTGTAGTATTGAATATAAAATGGGACTGCTCTCCCAGTTGACCCCCCCCCCTCACTCTCTCAGAGACAAACATACTGTATCTCTCTCACCCCTCTCTCTTTCACACAGGTCTGCACACAAATGCCTCATTAATTCATCATCCAGAGGTTATCCAGCTGCCATGTAGGAAGACAATGGAAGGAAATTCACCATTTTACTTTTGGCTCTAGCAACCAGCTTTAAGATGTAGAGTTCTTTATAAACACCCTTTCAACTTTTTCCGCATATTATCACATCTTTAAAGTCGCACTTTCTGGGATTTTTTTGTGATAGACAAACCCAAGTAAAAAGGGAAAATGATACAGCAGAGGGCATCTGTGAACAAGTAGCTGAGCCTTTCTAACATATAAATATGCATTCAATTAAACTTTTCGATCGCAGCTCTGGTATGTTAATGGAGGATGAAGTTGTGCTTCAGTCTTGACATTGTTTCATAACCTAACCCAAGAAATACACATCTGTCTGATGTGTTTCTTTGTCTTCATGATGAGTTTTTTTCTCTAATTTTCTTAAACCAACCTCTGAGGGCTTCACAGAATGGCTGGGTTTTTATTTAGACTACATTATGCAAAGGTGGACTCAATTTAATAATTCGGTTGGTTTAGAAGGCAGTTGGTTAATCGGATATCCAAGAAATACACATCTGTCTGATGTGTTTCTTTATCTTCATTATGAGTTGGTTTTTGTTTTTCTCATTTTCTTAAGCCAACCTCTGAGGGTTTCACAGAATGGCTGGGTTTTTATTTAGACTACATTATGCAATAGTGGACTCAATTTAATAATTCGGTTGGTTTTGAAGGCAGTTGGTTAACCAGAAATCCTTTTGGGTGCATTCAAAAAGATGGTCAAATAGAAATATGCAACACAGTAATTGGATTTATATTTGGAAAATATCATTGATGTTGAGTTGGTTTAATGCAGAAAATATTGGGATTGAAATATGTGATTGCATAACCTGCTCCTTGCATTTTAGATAATTTGCTCGCTCCAACGAATCCCATGTCTTCTGCTGGATGGATAAATTAGTTATTGTGTCTGTAGAGAAGAGAGAGATTCAAAAGCTTATATTCTTTCCCCTTTCATGTCAATCATATTAACTCCTCTAATAAATTGTGATTTGTAACAGAATGTCTCTGGTTTTTATGAGTCGAGTCAGACTAAGAATATGAAGACTTATCATTTCTCCTGTCGAGCTGACATGCATCTGAAATGAGTGGTTTGTCAAAGCAAAAGGGCTTTTCTAGTATGCAGTTGCAGGTTTTCCCCATGCATGTGCACATTCTCTTCTGGTATTCCAGTTTCCTGAAAACATGACTGCTAGGTTAATTGCTCTTTTAATTTGCTCTTAAGTCTAAGTTTATGACCATGGTTATTTTTCCCTAGGTGTCTCTGTGATGACTTGTGGCGACCTGGTGACCTGTTCAAGGTGTATTGACAGCTGGAGTTTTGCATCAGATGTCTCATGATCCTATAAGTGTGGAGTCAATCCCCAAGGTTGTGTTAGAGGATATTGTGCTAATATTTCTACTATTGAGAAAAGGAGGGTATGTACTGAAGCCCACAGCCAGAGGGACATCAGGAGTCCTGGAAATGAGAGCACAAACTCCTATGCCAAATAGATTGAATTGCTTATACTGGTGATCAGATTTGAGGTCATTGCCCTCTTTTTTTTCTTCTTGTCCTTATCCTTTGAGAGATAGGTAGATTTACAAACGTTTGTAAAGGTCTTAAAGCTGTTTCCCTTGGTTAAATGATGAGTGGTTGAAGTTTCTCTCTAATTATTCTAGCAAAATCTCTTTAAATTTGGATCAGCATTATATGAATAGAATAGAATAGAATACAATAGAATAGAATAGAATAGGTACATGTGTGAATTGAAAACTATGAAACAAAAAAGTTAGAATAGACTGTCCAACAAAGGAAAATCCACATCTCAGAAAATATAACAATTCAGTCAGTTTAAAAGAAATACTCAGGTCAGATGAAAAAAAGAAGAATGTACGCCAGAACCACAGTGTGTTACAGAAAAAATGCAAAATAAGAGCATGGCCATGAAAACAATCATAGAGCAGATAAAAGCTGTGCAACTAGCGGCAGTGTTGTTAAAAACTCTGTGGGTCTGTTAAAAGCAAAGAAGTTTAGTGAAGATTTTAAGGTCTAAAAACAGCTGTGAGGAAGGATCTGCGAAAGCGCTTCTTTGTGTACCAAGAGTTTAACAGTCTCTCACTGAAGGAGCTGTCCAGTTCTACAGCTTTATGCATGGGGTGGAAGGCAATTTGTCCAACCCTGATGTCATTTTTAGTAGTCCTTTTGTCCTTTAACTGTCAATATAAATTAGTTTAATCAATAAATGTATAATCGCAGTTGCTCTCGTTGGGTATTCTGATAGAAACAAACTCTCGTCTAAGAGAGAGAACTGCCGGTCCTCTTTGAATACTTAAAGGGACAATGTGTAACTTATTTGGCTTTAGCAAAAAAAGTATCGCTTTTACAAATACATGTTCTTCCAAAGTCTAATAACATCCCATCTTAAATAAACGCATTCTTGTAACTTTGAATTAAGAGTTCATAAATATAGTGCAGGTGCACACATATTGGGTTGTCTCTATGTAATTACAGTTGCCTTAATGGGACAAACATGTCTGATGAATTTTGGACTGCCCTTACAAATATACAAAAGTCTGCAGTTCCCTCCTGAGCCTCCATGTTCTGAAATAGCCAGCTGGGGGCATTTCTCCTTAAAAAAAAGTAATCTATTCAGAAGGCTATTGTCGCCTCTGCATGCTGCTCTCCTCAACGCATTGCCATGGTAACTCAATCGTCTAAGATGTTGCTGCTACCTGTCATTACCCAATGAGAGTTGCTGTTTGATGTAGGACTCAAAATTATGCACCCTGAACTTTGAAGTTTCATTGTTAAAGGGTAAAGATGGGGATGTGCATACAATATTCACTTTACCTTACGAGGTGCAAACATAGCACAGAAGCTGGAAATTAAACTGCAAAACATAGAGCTTGCTCGAGAGAAAATGTATTCCTAAAATCAGAAATACAGAATAATAAGTTCTAACTAATCTGTGAAAGCCAATATATATATATATATATGTTCTGATCCCATTTTTATTTATGTATAAATGATATTATTGATGCTGTTCATGTAGATATATATCTTTTTTTCAAGACTTCCTTTTTCCAACTTGCTCTTTTTTGCAATTGTAAAGGGTTTATTGTTAAACCTGACAAAAGCAATGCCTTTCTTATAAAAATAGATTTATATTCTAATCAAGTGTTTTTGTTCCATTGAATGTCAACTCAAACTACTGTGGGTCCATAGAAAAATAACACTGAAATCTAAATGATTAGAGTTAGATTGAGTTATTACTTGTCCATTTACACGTAGATATTGCCCTCCTCTGTTGGATTCCCTGGGGACTTTATGTGTGTTCTGGAGCAGCCGAAGCTGTAAAGTGATAACATATATGACATATTATGAAAACATAAATCAGCAGGCCCCAGTAGGGCTATTTAGGTCTATAAAATGTGTGCTCAAAAATGCCATCTACAGATGGTGCTGTAAAGACTTGTCTTAGTACAAGGTTCCCCAGGGTTCATCATTCATAACCACATTTCATTTGAAAGAGGAAAACTCAGACAAAACCCTCAACAGGAATATTTAATAGACTAGAAGAGAGATTCATTCTGGTCTGTATAGAACAAAGATGCTTTTTAGAGTTGTGTGTTTTTTTTAATGCAAAATCTTGCGCTGTTACGACTCTATTCAAATGGGATGTTAAAACCTTTTAAAACAAAAGAAAGAAATCATATTGATTTTTCATCCCTTAATAATCAAAAGAATGAAAGATACATGGTAAAGGATTTGCTTAAAATATGTATATATATATTTCATTTATGCACAAATGAGCAGTGCAAGAAATCTGGATAATTTATCCTCTGTGGAACCAGAAAACCTCCAAAGTCTTACTCATCTTCCTGCATGCAGTTAAATCAGATGTAAATAAATAGAGGAAATTGAATCCACCTGCATCATGATAGATTTCAAAAAGGATTCACAAACCAATGTCACATGGGTATGCAGGTTTAATCTCTATTGATTTGGTGTGGTATATTTCCATTAGGCTCTATGGGAGCTACGGTAATTGCTTTTTATCTCAAACCCACACACGAACAAACACAATGCAAGCTATAAATTGGGGTTGCATGCGTAAGCATTGGCCTAATGGTTTTTTAAAAGCATATAGTGTGGGGGAAGATATATCTTTTTTTTATATGGAAATCATGACCCGACTCAACAGTAAGTGTCAAGCAATAGC